GCAGTCGGTACCGGGAGGCAAGAATTTTTTTTTCCTAAAAAAATATTGATAATGGATCTCGTATTTTAGAACACAACAAACTCGTCCCATCCGTACAAAAAAATTGAAATCCGAGTTGAAACAAAAAAGATATGAGTCAATTAAGAAAGCAAGAGAAAATAAAAATGACCTTTAATTCTCCATCATTAGATCTGGATTTTCTGAATGAAGGGTCCATATTTAGTTATTAATGGGTGCATAACCCATGGTTATGCACCCTAACTTCATTCAGAAAATCCAGATCTAATGATGGAGAATTAAAGGTCATTTTTATTTTCTCTTGCTTTCTTAATTGACTCATATCTTTTTTGTTTCAACTCGGATTTTAATTTTTTTTTGCACAGATGAAACGAGTTCATCGTGCTCTACAAAATGAGATCAATTTTCAATATTTTTTTAGGAAAAAAAAATTATGGCCTCTCGGTACCAACTGCATACCATATGGTATCTTCTTCGTTTTTAATTCGTTTTTGAAAATGTTTGCACAGCAGGGACGAGTTCATCATGATCTATTGGATCTACAAATTTCTGGGTGAACAAATTACAAGACCAAAAAATACCACAAACGTTTTAAAAACGAGGAAGATACCATATGGTATGCAGTTAGTACCGAAAGGCAAGAAAATCTTTTTCTAAAAAAATATTGAAATGGATCTTGTTTTGTAGAGCACAACTAACTCGTATCATCTATGCAAAAAAAAATTGAAATCCGAATTAAAACGAAGAAGATATGAGCCGATTAAGAAAGCTAGGGAAAATAAAAATAACATTTAATTCTCTATCTTTAGAATTGAATTTTCTAAATAAAAGGTTCAAATTTAGTTATTGGCTAGCTTATCACCCGGCCACTTGGCCGAAGATAGCCCAATTCGCCGGAGATAGCCCAAAGAATTGGTAGCAGAACTCTTATGGATATCTACACATCAGCCTGCGCCTTGAATGATCTTTTTTGCCCAGAGGTAAGGTTTACAACACAATACTAATCTGAAGAGAAATCATCCAACCATTGCAATAGCAAAGCAATATCAAAGCATGAAAACTAAAATGGGCATTCAAAGTAACTTAATGAACAAAACATAACGGTCGTTCAACCATTCCAATCTTGGAGTTAGAATGCAAACACGCTAAATTGAAGAAAAGATCAAGTTTATTTACGATAGTTGAAATATTCTTCCTAAAATATAACCATAAAATGTAGTAAAATCAGCCTTCTGAGCATTTGATAATAATACGATATATAGGCTAGGTTCATCTCATAACTACTGATTGCTTTCTTCTTCAAAACCCTGTTTCCTTCTGGAGAGGCAAACAGTGGGTTCCTTGGATAAGTCATCTTCCCAATCCACAAAAAGGGTGTTTTCATTGCCAATTTTTGACGGGGGAGCAGTTGTGGTGATCGATTAGCAAGAGGAATGACCTCTCTTCAATTGACCCTACATATAGGAGCAAATGGTTGTTAAAAACATATCAAGTCATTACGAACATAAATTCCATTTTCTAAATTGGTATGGAGAAATGATGGAGTTGTATTTGTAAACTCACCTCATTAGTTTCATAACTTCTCCAAGTACCTGGTGTAAACATAGATATCCAATTATTCATCAGTGAAGAGTCAAAGGGCCTTAAAATATCAAAATACAACTTCATTAAATTTTTATTAAGCTTAGTGTAACGTATTGAAAATGGCAGGGAACTAAGGCTTCCAATTTTCGAAATTAGTTGATTCCTAACTCTAATGAACATAGATCAATCCAAAATGAATCGACGAAACACCAGGTAATAAACGAAGCGGACATAGCAACAAATAAAAAACCTACTGTATTGAGCACCCACTCCTAATTGATCACTAAATTAGACTAATTGATCACTAAATTAGGCTTGGAAAAGAAATCTGTGTTCGGAGGCAAAGCATCGACTCAAAAGGGCTTTAAAATATCAAAATAGAACTTTAAAATAACAAAATAATTTGTGTTTGGTTGATACATAAGAAATAATCATCTTCCCATATGTCTTACACAATGTATTTGTAATACGTAAATCTTCTTTTGTAATGTGAAATGAATTTTTTAGGAAACAAAAAAGTACATAGATCTCTGCATTGGAGGGTTTTAAGTGAACGATAATCCGGCTGTGACTCAAGAAAGTTGACCCTGCAAGTTTGGTTGACAGCAGAAGAAATGTTTCAAGAATTGCAAATGAGTAAATAAGGAATCACCCACGTTAAAATGGCTAAAAGAAAAACAAATCAAATAAACAATAAGAACTAAGCTTGCAAATGAGGATATTATAATCAAAGATGAAAAGAGACTAAACACAAAATTAATGTTATAAGAACATGAAAACGCCCAAGGAAAAACTTGATGCTTGCAGCCCTGTATGGGAAGATGAGAGATTGGCAGATTGCAAACATCAATCAAAGCCAAAACATATAATACATATAATGGAACCCAATGATTGATATCAACTCTCAAGAGATACAATGTTATGGTTAAATGCACGACTGGTGCAAGAACAAATCAGGTATACAAAATTCATTGTAAGCAGATGCACCACTTCGCGGAAAAAAAAATAGCAAGAATTATCAAACAAACCAAGAAAATCCATAAATAGATAGATGCATTCTAATTGTGTTTTGCGCAAAAGACAATGCAAAGATTTGGCTCTCACCTGGACCAATTTCATGTTATTTCTTCCCAGCCAAATCAGTTGGCTTCATATCATTAAACCCCAATGATAAAAGTAATCCTCAGAATAAGCATATTAGAAAAAACTCGGTCTATTGGCCCAAAGCAGAGTATCTACGTAGATGCGGCGGGAGTTGGTTGCTTGGAAAAGTTCTACATTATCAATTCAGAAATCTACATCTAAATAGTATCCACCAGTGTTCAATTACACATGAGCTTTCAGAGTTATTCATTGATCTCATGAAAAGAAATGTCTTTGAAGCAGTACTGCAGCTCAGGGGTGGGAAACAAAGTTTAGGATAAAAAAATTATGTAAGACAACGAAAAGGCTTCAGCAAGTGTGTAATATCAATGCATAATGCTTTGATGGTGCGATGATAGAGCTTTCAGTTATTATAGGTTCTGCCCAGTGCATATGAAGCTAATCAAAGAAGAAATAATACCTCTTAGATGCAATAGTTTAGGCAATGGGAGTCTGCTTCCGGCTAAGAGACGGCTATCTTCGTTCCTGACGTTTCATCTTCCCTAACAGGCAGACCCTTCTTCCGGCTAAGAGGAGGGGAAAGAGAAGGGGAAATCAATTCCTACCTTCCCGGCGTTTCATCTTGACTCACACACAGACTCTTCCTTCCAACTCGAAGGAGGCGAAGAGAAGGGGAAATTGAAGGCTTCCATCAATTGTTGACCGTCGTCGTCGTCTCCCTTCCCTAAGTTGTTGTCCACCAAACCCGGCGGCTCGCGGGTTCAGAGGAGGGGTAAAGGAGGGGAAATCGAAACCCTCAAAGGTGCCACTGATTGATTCCATAAGAAGATTTCTGCTAATCTCTTGATTAAGAAGAGGAGAAATGGAGGGATATGTGCTTCTTCAATTGGAATGGAGGAGAGAGGACTGTTGTGGGGGAGTTGATGACCAGTAAGGAGGTACTGCTGCGATGGACCGCTTTAGCGTCAAACTGCTGTGATATTTTGTTTGTGGGCCGCGGCCCGTTCAATAGTCAGGGTCCAGGGCCCGATTTACCCCTGAGCAGACAGACAGACCAGACAGAGAAATAATCTTTTTGCCAAAAATACCCCTCCGACAAACGCTCTGGAGGCAGCAATTTCAAAATGGGGCTTCCGTTTTAGACTTCTGCGTATTATAATTAGAGTAGAAGTAGAGTAGAGTAGAGATAGATAGATAGATATGTGCATATATAACCATTAACCACCACCCTATCTTCAGCCCTTCAATATCGGTTACGTACGTCCCCTCTACGTGCCTGAGGAGACGGACCTAAATGGGACAGTAATTTGAGCCCAGTGTTTGTAAGGCTTATTCCCCGGCCCAATGCCCGGCAATTATTCCACCTAACCTACATTTTGGTTTGCACGTAATGCATGGACCTACAAATTCAACATATTGGCGGGAGAAAGGTCGCACGTGTGAAGAAAGTAGTAGACAGGACAGGGATGAAAATAGAGAATCTAGGGAGGCTGAACCTGGAAACCGGAACTGCATTTCACTGTCTGTCGAGTTGGCTACTGAACTAGAGAACGCGGATTCCCTTCCCCGCTCTCCTGTCGGCGAAGGCGAATCTTCCTTCTCCATTCCATCGAAAAGATAAAGCAGAACAAAGGAAAAACTTAAAATAATCAAGTTGGATTAGTATACGTGTTAGTGACCTTTTTGGTCCCTATTCTATCTTCCTTTACCAAAACATGTTACTGTATAACTTCCTAACAAAACATTTTGCATGCCATGTTGTTAATTTTACTTTTTTGAGTTTCTATTTTATTCCTTTAACAATTTCATTATTAAATCTATTTATTATTCTAATAAATTTCATCTACGTGTATCGTTACTTTTAACTACGGGTGCCAACATCAAGTCCCGTGAAAAAAATAAGGGGAATTGTTGCAACTTACAGTAACAATATGTGTTTATCGAAATGCCATTAACACTTAGTATATAGTAATTATTGATTATTCCTAATCCTCCTCGCTAGTTGTCCATCCACGTGGCGACTTGGTAGCTGAGCCCCAAAAATTATATCCACTTGGTCCATATTTTTGTCTCCCTCCTTAGCTCTCCCTCTCTGTTTGCTTCCTACTACTTCTGTACATATCTCGCTGCTATAAAGTTGGAGCAGTAGTACTCGTCCATTTTCCCCTCTTTTATATGCCTTGCCTTGCCTGTCCCTCTTCTCCTCCTTTCTGAGAAAAGCAAAACCTAAGCAGAAGCCATATCTATATACGTGCAGCCGAATCCAGCTAGCTGCTGAGCAAGTATTTATACTTATGGAGTTTATAAGCAGCAGCAGCAGCAAAGCAGAGGTGATGAGGAAATCGTCGTCGAGGTTCAAGACAGTTTGCGTCTTCTGCGGCAGCAGTAGCGGGAAACGAGATTCCTACCGTGACGCTGCTCTCGAACTGGCCCAGCAACTGGTAATTAGTAGCGTACGTAACCTCTGGTTTCAAATCTTGGAACTTAATTAATTCTTACCATCTACATGTAATTTCTCTTGGTGGTGGAAGGTCTCAAGGAGGCTGGACCTTGTGTACGGAGGAGGAAGCATTGGGTTGATGGGTTTGGTCTCCCACGAGGTCCACCGTGGAGGTCGACGCGTCCTAGGGTACGTACGTATGTACGTAATTTAATTTGTTTATATTTCAAAGTCGAGATGCACACTAGCTAGCTAGACGTTAACGATGGATTGTTTGTATTATATATATATGTTACAGAATCATGCCCAAGATGCTGATGAGCAAGGAGGTGTGTGTTTAATTAAAATCAATTCTCTACATTTTATTGTATGTATATCGGCAATATAATTACCCTAAATTGTTATAGTAATCGTGATACTAATTAATGGAAGTACGTACAGCTAACTGGGGAAACTATTGGGGAAGTGAGAGCAGTAGCAGACATGCACCAGAGGAAAGCTGAGATGGCTCGACATTCCGACTGTTTCATCGCCTTACCAGGTTTCATGCCTACTTCCACTCATCTCTCCCAAGTGATTAATGGAATTACTAATATTAAAGTTGGTATGTATATGATATGGGAAAAAGGGTTCTAATTAATTAAGAAGACCTGATCTGACCTGGATATATGTTTCTGGAAATTAATAATAATTAAGCAGGAGGGTATGGTACTTTGGAAGAGTTGCTAGAAGTCATAACATGGGCCCAGCTTGGAATCCACGACAAACCCGTAAGCCTACCTACCTAACCTAGTACTTAAATTACACCATTAAACCTAGTTAATTATCGTAATTACTTTAATCACTTACTGTTACTGACGTCGACAGGTGGGTTTGCTTAATGTGGAGGGCTACTATGATTACTTGCTGACTTTCATCGACAAGGCCGTGGGCGATGGCTTCATCCACCCGTCTCAACGGTCCATCATCGTCTCTGCCCCAAATGCCAAACTACTTCTCCACAAACTTGAAGTCAGTGCATGAGTCCATTTGATTTGTTGCTTTTATAACACTATTTTCTCTGTTTTTTTTTTTTCTTCTTCATTCTCGAAATTGAATATTGATTAATTTCGGTACATGATCATTGGACAATAGGAGTACGTGCCAGTACATGATGGAGCGGTGGCGAAGGCCAAGTGGGAAGCAGAACAATGCTTACTTGCACCCTGAAGTGGATCGTTAAAAACTAATTAAGTAGCCCGTGATGACCAAATTCATGAATTAAATGTATATATTGTTATGTAATGTAACTATGTTTTCATTTTATTCTATTACCATCGTGTTATGTGACCTTTTTCTAGTTAAATGCGTGTTGTATTTGGTATGTTATATATAGCTAGGTCTCTTTAGGGCTAATTTTCAGGCCAAGGGATGATTATTAATTGTTTTCCTCAACATATAAGCATAGTTTTGAATGTAATTTCATCCACGATTTGTAAAATACAACAGAAGTGTACGTTGTGTGGACAGATGCAGACTTTTCTTCTTGCCAGCTAGCTTAGCCTTTTTAATTTGTTACCATCATATCGCCCGTCGACCCGACATAATCTGTTTACTTGAAGATGACATGTCGTTTACGTGGCATCCATATCAGCGCCATATTTAGGGGTGTTAATCGGTTGACGGTTAATCGGTTGCACCGAAAACCGAACCGAAAATCTCGGTTATCGACCTAATCGAAAACCGAGATATTTGCCTCGGTGTCGGCGTCGGTGTGCTAATTCTGGGCTTTTGGCTAACTGTCGGTTGCCGGTTTCTAACCGAGATCAAACTCGGTGAACCGCTGCAACCGAAAAACCTCTCAACTCCCTCTCTCCACCCGCATCGGCCCTCTCTCCCTCTCCATCTCCAGCCTCTCACCAGGCCGCCACCACCGCCCTCCACATCCCCAATTTCCCCACCCGACTTCGCCGACGCTTCTCTCCGAATCTGGCCGAACTCATCGTCGCATCCCCCACCTACCCTCTCATCCTCGACGTCCATCGTCGGCGTCGATTGCCATCCATCATCGACGTCGCCGCCGATTGTCGACCTTCGTCGTCGGCGCCGCAGAGTGAGAAATCCGGCCATATCCAACACGGCAACACCTATTCCTTGCAAGTTTATGTTGATTTTTAGTGTTGATTTTGTGAGGGGAAAAGGTAGCAGAGAGTTAGAGATGGAGATTTGGTGTGGGGAGAGGGAGGGTAGCAGAGAACGAGAGAGGCGGAGAAGGATAGAGTAGAGAGAGAGAGTTGTTTTTGTCTTTGGAGATAGGGGACGGTGGAAGGATCCAGAATAGAGTGGGGATTTTTTTTAATTCACTTTATATTTCGGTCAAGTCTAACCGACCAAACCGAACCGTGGCTTTCGGTTGGCGGTTTCGGCTAACCGATCACTCAATCGGTTGCGGTTGCGGTTGCCTATTTCAGCTCTTTATTTGTGGCGGTTAACCGCGTGGTCGGTTCGGTTTAACCGAAACCGAACCGACTAACAACCCTAGCCATATTCATGTTATTGTTAAACTTTTTTAATGAAAATGGTTAAATTTGTCAAAATAGTTTCCAAAATGCGGCTATATTTGTGTATTTTTCAAATTGACTATTATTGCCACAAAGTAGATAGGTATGACTATGGATGTCTATTTTGACGAGGTCAACACCTTGCTAATGAGTTCATTTGGAGGAATGTGTGAAATGATATAGCTAAAACAACCATAATACCATCCCAATAATCCGAATTGTATTTGTTGAGGAATAATTATTCGAGCAGTGTTGAGAGATGATAAAAATGAATTTCATATCGTTCTTCTAATCACTCGATCTCTCATAATTGATGTACAGTGTGTCCAACAATAAATATAATCTATCTATTTAAATTTAACTGCCTATATTGAGTGTGACCAAGATTAGAACACCAGATTTTCCAGCAAAAAATCTAATAGCATGTCCTGAACCAGAGCATTCCAAGCAAGTGCTAATACCCATAGTTAGTAAAATACGGTACGGGAAAGTTACGGATATAATACGTACGGGTATTTTACTTCATCTCTAAGCTAATGTTACGTTTAATAGTACGTTAATAGTCATAAATATATAAAATAAATTATTTTTTAAAATAAATAAATATATAAATAATAGTAAAGTTAACAATTTAATTCATTAAATACGGATATAAAACGTGTTATACGGATTTTATACGTGTTTAGTACGGGAGCCACCAAATGAACGGACAAAAATGAAACGGATTGACAAAAATACGGATACGGAAGTTTTAAACGGATAAAGTACGTACGGGTACATATACGTGTATTAAACGGAGTATTTACTAACTATGCTAATACCATGCAAAGCACTACTAAACTATCTCATATTAATGCCTCAAAAATAGTCAATGATGTCAAGAAATGATTTTGATCCCCTACTTTTAACTAAAACCCTCTAAATCGCGCATGAATTATTATTTGACAAGCAGAAGTACGGAGGACCATTTAAAGAAGAATATGCCCTAATTTAGCTTTTTGTGGGTTGGTGTCGAGTCCTTGTTAATAACTTTTCCTTCCAAACATGACTCGACTAAATGAGTAAATGACTACATCATGATGTTTGCTTCTCTCTTTTATCAATCGAGCCACACCACTTTTAGAAATGGAGCCACACCACCAAGCCTGATAAAAGGGAGAATCCCGACTTTTAGAAGTGTATTTATGCTTAAAAAAATTGAAGCATGATTAAACACTTCTAAAAGTTTGGCTTTTGAAAAATGATTTTGTATAACATAAAAGTAGGAGCTTCTGCAAAAAAAAAAAAAAAAAAAAAAATACAAGATTATTTTTATCATATTTTTATTTTATTTTAGAGAATATAATTTTATTTCATTTACTTCATTTTGAAAATAAAATGAATTAGAAAATAATATTATTTAATATAAAAGAAATCTAATCATATCCATTTTGAATATTTTTTATTTTTCAAATTTTTTATTTATATTTTATATTAGAAATATTTATATTAATTTTACATGACCTCTTATATTAAAATCACTTTTAATATTTTTTCCGCCAAACACTCAACTGCTTTTTTTAAGTACTTTTCTAAAAACTCAAATCAGAAACAGCTTCTGCAAAAACTACAACAGACCAAACTAGCCCAATATGTAAAAACCCCTTTTTCTTGGTATAATTGAAATGGAACAACATTAGAACATAAATCATTTTCTCCAAATGTGAATCGTCCAGACAACAAATGTGTCTCTTCCTGATTTACCGAATTGGGTTATTGATAGGAAAGCCCAGGCTCGAGAACCCCAAAAAGTTGTTCACAATCATTACAGCCGGTGATCTCTCTCTCTCTCTCTCTCTCTCTAAGTTGATCTTTTCGTATAAGGCAATTGTAATTAGTAATTACTATAAAGGTTTTCAGATATACCTCTCGAATCGTCAATCAAGAACCTTTGTAGAATGGATGAGAATGAAGAGTTGGTTGCACGGTTTCAGCTTGAGGGGGATGCAATGTCTTCCACTCTTATACATGGTTTCTTTGATGTGGCTACACCCATGGAGGACGAGATGGTGATTATGTTCAGTTTGGACTTGGGACGACGGGAGAGGTTATGCGTCTTGGCTTGGTGGCAGGGAGTTATTTTGGACTCGTTGGGTGTAATGGTTTCAGAGTGGCTCATTTGGTGGCCATTTTGGCTTTGGTCTTGTCACTCCTAATTCCTTCGGGTTTGACTATGTTTTTTGTTTGCTTTGGCGACAGATTTCCTAGTAAATTTGTAGATTTTTGTTCATCTCTCTTTTTCAGACCAGATCTAGTGGGGGAAAAAGAGAGAAGAGTTTCGAACCGGGTTATGCAAAAAAATTACTGTACTAGTATACACCTTAAACAACAAGAAACCAAGTGGCAGCGGTGAAAAGAAGTCAGGTGGCGGGAACCAACGTTCCACTCCAGCGGGAACCAACGATCAAATCCAGCGGGAACCACTGGTCACCTCTTCCCTTGACTCTAGTGATTATTCATTTAAATACCACCCTTTATTTTAATCATCACCATCCTTATCCCACGCTCTACCTCCTTCATCTCTCTGAAGTTATTTTTTCCAGATTCTCCGTGTCCCTTCTTGGCTCATCCCCAGCGTAACAATCAACACCATCATCCTCAGGATATGGAAAATGAACCCAGAAGGTAACTCCCGTCCGTGGAAAGAAGACTCTATACTCGAACGTCGATCATGGTAGAACAAGATAAACAACTCCACCGCATCACCGGCAGGTCGCCAGAATCCACCCAACATCTCCGATGACCGCCGCCAACTGCAAACCACAATCAATACATTAATTCTCAAAAATAATGAAGCCTTACCGTTTAGCGGTTACAGAATAATAAACTCTAAAATGGCTCTCGCCGGAAAAGCCTTAATTGGGCTTTCAAATCATCTAATTTATGACGAGTTAGAGCTATTTAGAGCTCCAAAAAACAGAGCTATATATGGTCTCTACATCAGCCATAATGAAAGGCGAAATGTAAGGGGAAACCCAAACCTAAGCACAATCAAATAGGGCTGGCTATTTGGACCGGGACCGGATGAAAAACCGGAAACCGGACCGTATAACCCGGACCGAGACCGGACCGGGACCGGATAGTAAACAATCCAATCCAATCTTTGGGCTTAGATTTAAGGTAAAAAACCGGATAAAGACCGGATAAGAGAGCTCAACACCCAAAACTTAAGGGTAATTTGCATAAACGATCACAAACCTTTACACTTAGTACAAAACTTAACCAACTCCTCACCCTTTTAGGCCTTAGGCCACTCGAATTCCCACAATCTCAATATAAAATCAAGACCGAATTGGGACCGGACCGGGTCAAGACCGGACCGGATCAAGACCGGACTGTATCCAATCCAATCTTCGGTCCTTATATTCTAAAAAAAACCGGACTGGACCGGATCAATTTGGGCCAATTTAACCGGACCGGACCGTATAGCCACCCCTACAATCAAAGTGCACTGACACGCTAAAACACAACACCTAACAATGGCCAGTGTAACCAATGAAAGGGACTGCAGTATAGTGGCACAAGTAATAAATATCGAATCCACAGATCTCTAGAGTTACTATTACTCAGCTTCAGTTCATTATCTAGAAAACTAGATTAAGGATTGATTTATAAACTACTCTACTGACTACTCTACTCATTACAAGTTGGGAACTCACTTAGGTATGATTCACCCTAGCTCCTCAATTAGGTCCAAGTTGCAATTACCTTTGGTTGATCTACTGTTGATTAAACTGCTGAAGATCCTA